AGGTGGATGTTCCCGCAGTTGCCTTACTTGAACTCATAGACCTTTGTTTAGAAACCAATTTTTCGTTCTAGCCACAATATTATCAACGAATAAAAGGAGCTCCAATGGGATCACCTATATCTGGTTTTCTTGCCGTGGTGACAATACGGGAACTAAAATCTACAGCTCTTCTATTAGGTATCGCTAAAATTATCAACTGGAAACCATCCACAACACAATCAACTTAACCATTCGGGGAATCAAATTCACGCCTGACAAAGAAGTTGGTAATGAACTCACATTTTTTGATATTCTGGTACAGCAGAAGACTGACGGGACATTACACACGTCCGTTTACTGCAAAGAAACATGAGAGCAGCAGTCCAATCCCTCACAAGCGGAGCACTGTCAAAATCTGCTACAGCGAGTAAAAACAAATTGTTCTGAAAAAAGCTACCAAGTTGGCTAAATTATTTGTTGGATTTACTTTCCCAGAATGGTTACCTTCGAGATTTCGTACATCGACGCATGAGATAACAAAAGTAAAAGAACTAGATAATTCCAATCAAACATCCAAGGCAAATACTTGGCGAATTCTTCCTTACATCAGGAATGTGTCTAAACTCCGTCAGTATCAGTCAGCATATTTGGATGCCTTTAAACGGAACAGGTGTGCATGAAAAGTAGTTAAGTTGCAAAAATCTTTACATGTAGTTTTAATGTGCAGAATGTATGACACTAATCATAAAATATAAGTGCTAAAAGGTGTGACATTTGGGAAATAACGGCGAAAGGCACGTTCGTTGCATTCGCTCTGTGAAATTTTTACCCGAGTCAATGTTAATATACACGGAAACATCTGTTTAAATTAGCTTAGTAGTATGTTTGTAGTCATTTTAGTAATCCATCAAATGGAGTTTAGGGAGTTCTGGTTGCCTTTTAATAGGGAATTATCCAGAAGTCTCGTGAACACACTCACGGTAGAGGGTGACAGTGGCGAATGACACACTGTGAGAAAAAGGAGGCGTAGTGAATGGTATGGCACACTTCCTTTTTAAACTAGCGATCCTGCCGCCTGAGATTAGACTTACGTGCCATTTCAGAAAGAGTTTCCCACTCGACATCCAGATCAAGTCCTCTTGACCACTGAAAAGTTGCTATGAGGGCACCTCTGTCCTGCCTGTAGTGGAGGGGATAGAGGTTCAAGGCCGTCAGGCGCTGCTCGTACGTGAAGATTTTGAGGCCATGAACAGCCTTTGTAGCACGCCGTTGTACAAATTCATGGATAGCTATATCCTTCCGAAATCACGGCCGCCAAGCCTGTACCACGTATTCCAGATACGGCCTCACAAATGCTCCATCTACCTTACCAAAGACATTTGGATTCAAGTTAGTAAAGATTCTTCGTATATCGCGCTCGTGACTGACATTGCCCGCGCTGCGACTTTAGAACACTGCGTGGTGACGCTTAGATCGTCTTTAATGAATATACCGAGATCTTTTTGAACATATACGGTTTTAAGTGGTTGATTGTCCAGGAGATATTGTCGTGACGGCCCGTTTATTTTTCGTCTTGCTGATATTACGTGCATTATCATACATTTTTGACGTTGAATTTCATGCACCAGTTCTCTTTTCATACGTGCAGGTTCTCTACGTCCTCTTGCGGCATTTGCGCGCCGTTTGCATCTATTATCACCCGCCACAGTTTAAGGCCATCTAGGTCCGATCTCACTTTCCATACTAGATCACTAACATAGATAATGAATAGGAACGGCCCAAGAACTGACCCTTGAGCGACTCCACTTGTAACAGGTGAGTATTCTGAGCAGTAGCCATCCACAGTAACTTTTTATCTACGGTTGTTTGAGAAGTATTGAATACAGTTCAGGAGTAAGACACTTGAGGGAGCACCAAATAAAAGTAACACACAAAACGACGACTACTTCACGCAGTCAGCTTTTACAACCTAGGGATAGGGTTAACTGTCTTGATAAGAAGGAAGTCGTCTATAAAATCCCATGCGATGTCTATGCTGTCGTATATTGTGACCAAGCGAGAAAATCTGTCTCTACACGCATCCACGAAAATCAGCTGGCGGTTAAGGGGCGAGATAACCTCTTTAAAATGATCATTCACACTCTTCATAGTGGGCACATCTCCACACGAAGGAAAACTCACATCGTCAAAGATTATCCCTCGAAAACAAGGCTGAGAGTTTCTTGAAGCCATGGATTCCGATGAGTTATTTATCAATCGGCACATAGAGTTGGTGCAATGTACAAAAATCTCAGGGACAAGTGGAGGTGATGAGGCCCAATCAATACGGGATGACGTACACAGCGGGCGCTTACTAGCGCAAACACCAGATAAATATCGATTTTTCAGCACGTTTGAAATTTTACTTCTCTTAGACATTTGTTCAAGTCTGACGATGACCTGTGGAACCAGAGTAAAATCTATCTAGTAAATTTATCTAATTTTCCAAAGAACCCGTTTGTCTTCAAAGTACATTTCTTGGGATGCCTGCCCTCCAATTCATATGTACCGACAGACCAACGAGTCGGTTCCTCAGTGTTTAGAGGCGTTGGACTTCTAACCATCAGGTCGCGGTATCGAGTCCCAGATATTACACACTTTGAGGTTGGGTATGATTGACTGATGACGGCTAATAAGTCAGAACATCATCATTCTACCTGCCGACAAACGAGATGCCGCCACTATTTTGAAAAAAACGGGCTACACAAAGAAAATAATGCTGCTCTTAAAAGATGATTCAGTTTACGAACCTCTAGCTGCCGACCCCACAAAATCACAGAACTCATGTATTGAAAAAACACTGAAACGCTTTTCAGGAAGGAAATTAATCTCGGGAGTTCTTGCTAAGTCTTTAAAAAAGGATGAACCAACAATTGCCCGGATATATGGTCTTCCCAAAATTCATAAAACTGATATTCCGTTGCGACCGATAGTCTCCCTAATCGGTGTGGCTATTTCGTCAACTACATCCACTTACAAAGAACTCTGAGAACTCCATTCAGGATTCAAAACAGTTTCTAGACAAAGTAAACGGTGTCAATATTACATGTGACGAGATAATGGTGTTATTCGATGTGGTCTCGCTCTTCACCTCGATTCCGCTAGATTTAGCGAACAGCTGCACCGAAAAACTCCTCCAAACATACACTTTTGAGGTGACTGCAGAGGCTTTACTTCAACTCCTGTTTGGAGACAAAAATTTCATTCTCCAACCAATGCTATCGACAATAAAAAGGCGCACCCATGGGTTCACTCATATACGGTTTTCTGGCAGAAGCCATAATGTAGAAATTGGAAACCATAGCCTTTCTAACAGTTAACCCAGAACTCTGGCTGCGATGTGTAGATGACACTTTTGTCATCCTCAAGAAAAATCACTTGAATCTGCTTCATGCCAATATTAAGTCTAAATTTCCAGGAATCAAGTTGGCCCTCTAAACAGAGGCTGATGGACGACTCCCATTATTGGATGTCCCTGTACGTCGAAAAACCGATGAATCACTTCACACATCAGTTTGTCGCAAAGAGGCATATTCACGTTTTGAGAGCGACCACCCTGTCTCTCACAAGCGGAGTACAGCCTACAGCCTTCTGAATCGAGCCAAAACTCACTGCTCTGATGAAACATGTTATCGAGCAGAAATGACATACCTCTGCAAACTGTCCTCCCAAAATGGATACCCGCATGACTTTGTACGTCAATGCATGAGGCATCAAAAATTCAAGGGAAAATGTATTTCTAATGCTACGGCGGCTCGAACACCAAAACCAACCACCTGGAGAACTCTACCATATGTGAAAAATGTATTTGAGCTAGTCGAAAGACAACTGGAAAACACCAGATACACGTAGCACACCAGCCGGCAACTACCTTACGCATCAGCTTGTACACTCTAGAGACAGGGTTGACTACCTCGAAAAAAAACGTGGTCTACAAAATCCCATGCTTCAGTTGTGATGCCGTCTATAGTGGTCAACCTGGGAAATCTGTCTCGACCCGTATTCATGAACATCAATTAGCGGTAAAGAGACGCGGCCATCTATCCCAGGTGGCCATGCACACACTGGACACTGGGCAAACATTTACATGGGAGAACACTCGCATTGTTGGCGCCTGCCAAACAAGGAGAGGCCGCGAATTCCTGGAGGCAACGCACTCAGACGAGACATGCATCAACCGGAATATCGATCTAGATGCCACATACAACATCGTTAAGGACAAATTCAAACTGAGTCAGCCAATCCCGAGGAGACAATAAATTGTAATTAATACGCATTGGCATAGACTTTAGTTAATCATACGATCCTTTGTCAGAAGTTAATTGTTATTGCATACCCATAGTCTGAGGACGAGCTGGGAAACCAGTCTCGAAAATCTACACAATAAAATGTTATTTTGTTCCCAAAGAATCTTACCTATTTTAAATTAAATTTCTTGTGATGCCCGTTTTTCAAATAATATATATACATATATGTTGGTCACAGTGGTAACCACAGCATGGGTTAGCGTGAACTGAGTGGATTAAAAAAGTGTCAATGGAAGTAAAACTAAAGGTCGCTCCCTGATTTTGACAGAAAAGGTAGGATTTCAATTAAACTCACCAAAGAACCATTTTGAATTAACTATCAAATTTCAAAAACAGGGGATACCCACTATTATACTGTTGCACCCCATCTAAAACATGCGGGTTTGCGTGTTAGAAAGCCGTCAGTCAGGTTAACTTCCCTCTTCGACAGTTAATCTTATATGGAAATGTAGCCCAATTCGTCCTCTTGCGGGAACCTCCTAAATTGTCTTACGAGGACATAAGCCAGGACCACAAAAGAGCTTAAAACGTTCAATGAGGATACGGTCTAGGTGCGTCCAAGTACCGTAGAGGTGAAATGTAGCGCTGACAAAGTGCACTTCGACGCGAGCTAGCTGCAGCCATATAAATGTCGTGCATTGGAGGAAGATCGCCCGATTTGTCGTTCTCCCCTGGATGCGGACTGTCGTCGTCGCCGCCGCTACCGCCGCTCCGGCGCCTGTCCTCGCCGTCATAAAGGTTCCAAAGACTGCAAAGAAGCACGCTGCGCGTCCGCCGTTCGGCCAGATGATCGTTGAGGCTATCGGCGCTCTGCAGGGCAGGAATGGCTCCAGCCGGCAAGCCATCCTCAAGTACATCAAAGTCCACCACAATATGGGCGAGAAGGTTGCCGGAGCCCGCCTACGTCGTGCTCTGGTCGCCGCGACCGTTGCCGGCAAGTTGGTTCAGACCAAGGGCAGCGGTGCGTCGGGGTCCTTCAAATTGCCAGAGAAGGTCCAGGCACCCGCCAGACGGCCGGCCGCGGCGAGTTCTGTGAAGGAACATGGCGAAAGGACGCTGAGGTCCCCACGACCGGGGAAGATGAGAGTAGTTACGCCGAAGGACGTAGGTGGTGGAGAGCTGAGCAGGAGGGCTGTGACGCTGAAGAAGAGGAGGGTGGTGATACCTAGGAAGGCAGTTCGTGGTTCAAGGTTGAGGGCGCCGGCTGTGAAGAGCACTGTAAAGAAGTAGGACTTTGTGGTATGAGATGCAAGGCTAAGCTGCTCTGCATATATCCTTCCATCAAAATACATATATACATATATCTTATCATATGGTTCTCCCACGAGAAGGTCGGGTGCCAATTCACCAGCATTGTAAACTTAAAGTTTCGTTTGGGTAAGTAGCGTGTAAGTAGGTTTGACGACCGAAGGATGAGGTAATATTTCGAGTCCTCTAACCAGTGTTTACCGTTACATGAATCCGACTAGCTGTATTTCACGTCGTTCGCTGTCAGGTCTGGATACGCCGGGTAGTTCAGCAATAAAGTTGCCGTCCGATCGGACCAAGTCCTGGGGCACAGGGCCTTGGGTGTATCTCTCCTGGTTTTTAGTCAGGGGAACCGCTAGGGGGTGTGTTGGGAGCTCTAGAGGGTTTACGCTTCAAAAGCCTCAGCACACAAGCCACAAAGGGACGGACTCGGTGGTATCCGAAGCGTGCAGTCGCGTTGATTCCGGTGGACTCAGCTCGACCATTTTGCCAGTCGGGGAGACGTTTTGCGCAAACCGTAACTCCATGGGGAATTGATAACAGGCGGCGAGTAGTGAAACGGCCATCGTCGAAGGTTTGCTGTAAACTGGCGAGGCTGACGAGTAGGCGGTCTGTGTACCACGTAGAGACGCACTTCCAGCTGGACCACTACCATAGTGTCGAGCGTAGAGTACTCAAGGGACGTTCCTGTACAAGGGAGGAAATTCATAATGTTTATTGAAATACGCGTACTGTAGGACGGAGGTGCATGAGTTCCGATGGTGGGGCTTAGCCAGGGCCGGAGATATTCAACTCCAATCGCGTTACGGAATTCGTTCGTCCCATTGTGTCTTGGGGCTCGCCCTCTCGAGTCCCGCCAACATCCGCACAGCGGTGCGGAATATAAGCAGACTAGAATTGGCGATAAAGACAAACAAGACCATTTCTGGCTTATTAGCCGTCACCCGCCCGTAACGCGATCGGTGAGCGCCCCTCTACCATTGTTATTATGCTCGATCACAGCCGACAGGACAACGAGCCCGTGGCTCAGTGATTGGAGGTGTTGGACTCCTAACCAACAGGTCGCAGTATCGAACCCCAGGGGTATTACATCTCGGAGTTAGGTGGGGCTAACTTACGACGGTCAGAAATGGCCATTCTAGTCTCCCTTATCTTTGTCAGTAACGCACTTCTGCCTAAGCCCAACTCCGTCTGGGAGTGCTAGTCAGCAATTTAACATTATTGCGTTTCGATCTGCCCACGTAGGCTGTTGAACAGTAAGTGCTCGAGAAGACTTGACGAAATGGGTTAGGTCGCCAACGAGAAGCCCATCAAATCGAAAATTAATGATACATAGTTAGCAGGACGGTATTTATTGCAGTCACTGAAGGTCAACGTGTCGATCGGCGTAGCAGAGTCGGCTGGCCGAAGGCTGAGTCCCGCGCGACTCAGAAAATCAACTGGCTGATTCGGTCGCTGTCGCCACGCTGAGTAGACCGACACAGACTTATTGATTAACACTGGAGTCGTGGAGCTCGCGACATCAGGTCTGTTTGATGAGAATGGTAATGTTCTCACGAACTGACGAGTTATATCTCACGAGCCCCTAGCCTTAAAGGTAGCAAGTAAGACTGAGCAGTGAAGAATATAGAGATTCTGAACGTTAAGTAATCTGACAACAGAGCGCGACAACAATGCAGGCCCGCAAGGCGGGTTGTACGGGTGTGTGGTTTTTCGTCACATTCAAACAAGCAATCCGGTCAAAGAAAATGGGACTAAATTGTCAAAGGTAAATTAGTCCGGTACCTCACCACATGTTCGCCGTCAAGTGCCAACCGGACACTCTCAACCGAGTTCAGGAATATTTGCAGCCGCTTTGTCAATCCAATTTCGCGCACTGAAGTCTCAGCTATCGGCTGCGCCAATTTCTACGAATTCTACAGCATTTCCCTGTCTCTGCAGTTTACGGCGACTGTGTTGAGACAGCGGTCAGATTAATCTTTTAAATTATGACGCTTTAGGCAGAATGTCCTGTGCCCAAGTGCGGCACCCTGCTAGGTACAAAGCAACCGGAATATGAAGTTCATAGATGTTTTAGCAGATTTTGAATAATTCATATTGACCCAACTGTGAAAAACTCGGCGGGTAACTTGACGCAAATGTGATTAAACTCGCGTCGTTCGTTAGAGCGTTGGCTGTACTAAAGCCCTCACCTTACTGCGTGGGTTCGAATCCCACCGAGGCGCCGGCTTTTTCACAATTGGGTCAATAGGAATACGAAGTGGAAGTAACTATGACTAGGACCGTTACGCGATAGGTTGACAAAAGACAGACCAGTAGCTACGTAGACGCAAAGTGTCCCCTCATAAAGTAGACTTGGTGGCTTGATGAGATGATGCTTTATTCATCGTGCTTGACGAGGGAGAGACTTGCATCCTGTCTACCATGCCCTCACTTTTTCCACTGTCAAGGTAGGGCTGAGCCAAGGAGATCACAGATGGGATCTGACGCAGTGGTCGATCATGCCTTCCGTCACTGGTGGGGATCGCAGAATCGAAGAGGATCAACATTATCTCTGGGGAGACGGAAGCGTCTTGCAAGTGAATTTAATATAGCAAAGAACGGCATTGTCTCTTTCCCATCGTGTACGCGGGATGGGATTAGGTCGAGCCGATTGGAAAGGAGGTGGGATCACAGTGACGTACCGGGAATTGTATCTCCTCTTCTCGCGAGCCGATAGCTTAACTGACGTCAGCCGGGGCACGTCGCTTGGAGAGCATATCGGCGAGATTCGCCAGAAGATCGCAGCAAGAAAGAGGGGTTTGTGGGCCTACTGATAATAACCGTTCTAATGTGACAGGAATTTCAACAGCTCGATACGCAATTTTGGTCTATTTGTCGATAAGAGCGAAGATGCGAGTTCCAGGAACTAGTTGATCAGAAGAAGAAGCGATCGCTGGAACAAGGGCTTTATTCGCCTGACGTTTCGGATTCTCACCTGAAACCATCATCAGAGACAGTGACAGGGAAGGGCGACCCGTGCACAGGAAGTTGCAGTGTTTATAGGATGCAGTCGCTATGCTACCGCATACCTATAGCAATTAACCGCGTTCCCCTTCATCAAGGATTGTTGCCTGCTGGTGCGCTAATTGCTTGCTGGTCGGCATGTAAGTTGTTAATTGCCGAAATGTCATCACCCGCGTTGGATGCTGGCGTGATTATTGCTCGACTCTCTGACTCACCGGTCTGTGCGCTCCCCGACCGGTCTGTTACTTTGCCAGTCACTCGGGGATTGTGGGAAGCAATCAATATTGACTGGGTGTGATTATTATCAAAAGCCTTATCTACGGTTTCTTGAGGAATAACTAAACTGTCAGACGTTGTAAATAACGGTCTTGTTCGCTGGAAATAAACCCACCTTCTGAATGAAACACAAGTAAACAAACGTGAGCTTCTTACGGCAACAACTGAAACATACTAGCATAGTGAATGATGTGATCGCGTACGCTGAGGATTCTGGGCGAATGTTCCCCCTCGTTGCATAACATTTCTGCTCAATATACCTCATGGTATGCAACATCATCGAAAGCAGCGCTCCTCCTCCATCGTAAATTGAATGTCCGGGAAGACTCTGTTAAGACGTTCTTTGAACGTTAGCACCTGATCCCGTTCGATGACGACGAAAGTATCGTCCACATGCCGAGCCCAGAATTTCGGTCTGTGGTGTTGGAAGACCAGCGACTCTAACCGCTGTAGGACCGCCTCGGCGATGAATCTCGAAATCGGCGAGCCCATTGGTGTTCCCTTCACTTGCTCGTAAATTGTTCGGATTGGTCTATTTGACCGTATCAACTAACCGTGCTTCAAGGCCGTGTGAAAAAGACTAAAGTTTGGACCTGGACGCAGTTGAGCATCTAACTACTGCGCCAGATTGTTTTCGCAAACCCTAGATGCACACGCGTGGTAGTAGCAGTCTGGTTGTTGTCCAATCACAGCTATCCAAATTGGCCAACCAACCTCAAGGTCAACGCAGGTGCTACGACACCTGCCCCGGCAGCGCCAGATGTACGTCCTTTGTGCGTCTGCCAGCTTGCCTCAATCTGTTCTCCATTTAGTCTGCATAGAATACAATGTTGCCTCTACCGGCGTCCAGAAGGTCTGAAGGTCATGGTGACTAGGGTGTGTCCACAGCTTTAGCCGCCGCGACAAGAACAGCCGGAACCCGACTTGTCGTTCTTAACCATCCTGCTAGTTAGTCGTCTTCCACTCCACGACTTCTAGGCCGCCATGATGATTCAAAAGCAATGACACGTTGACCTCAACCCCTCTCTCATTTCCGGTTGCGTACAAGGAGCAAGATTAAGCCAAATCCAAGGATGACGAGCTTGGACACGTTGGCTGTTCGCCCCCCTCCCTCCCCCCCTGACACGCACATGCTGGTTGCTCAGTGGGCACGATACTGATTTTTTTTTCGGACACAGATCGGTGGGACTCTTGCCGATCCGTCAACGCGCTTGACTACTTAAGGGTCAAGCCGTAGGGCTGCCTTAAAGTGAGCTACCTGACTCATAGGGACCAAAAAGTGTTGAATTTGTTTTGCAATGAACCACAGTCAAACCACTGATTCATCAGCCTGTCAGAGGGTCGAGATTTAATCCGGAGTCCAGCAGTTTGAGGGCGCAGCTCGGCGTGACAAAAAAAGTCTTGGTAATGAAGTGCTGCGCAAGAGAGATGAAGAAAATTGGCGAAGCTTGATTATGCAGCCCCATTTGAACGATAGCACATGGCTAGCTTACTAAAACAGTATTCAGTAATATGCATAATTTAGCCCCTCGCTGAATAAGAAGAAGCAAGAGAGCGCAAGCAGGCTCAAGGAAGCGCGTGAAGATGGCGTGTACACAGTCTCCACGCGACACAGCCACTCGCTGCATTAGTGGGATAGGGAGAGTACGATCACAAATGGAAGGTCACGGAGGAGACCGCGTGGTTATGCGCAGTGCTTG